TTCCAATATAAACAAACAATAGGGGCTGGAAAGGTGGCTCAGTGGTAGAGTGCTTGCCTTGCATAAATGAGGTCCTGAGAAAAAGCCAGAAGTGGCGCTGTGGCTCAAGTGGTAGAAGGCCTTGAGCTGAAGAGTTGAGGGACAGCGCCCAGGTCCAGAGTTCAGACCCCACAACCAACAACAACAACAAACAATATTGCAAAGGGTGCATTTTAGGATACCCATCCTTCTCCAAAGGCAAGAACTTCTACAGAATCGAAATAGAGCAGGAACAGCTGGGCGCCAGTGGCTCATGCCTGTAATCCTAGTTACCCAGGAGGCTGAGATCTGAGGATCATGGTTTAAGCCAGTCTAGGCAGGAAAGTCTGTGAGAGTCTTATCTCTAATTAACCACCAGAAAACCAGGAGTGATGCTGTGATTCCAAGTGTTAAGAGTATTAGACTTGAGTAAAAGAGCTCTGAATTAAAGCCCCACGACCAACAACAAACAAACAGACAAATAAATATTTGAAAAAAGAATGTTTGAAAACCAAGAATGAAAGGTACTGCTAGGTCCCTAGAGTCAACATTCAAGTCTGTACCAATCATTTTAAAATAACTGTATAACCAAAGGCATTTTATGACTCATAGTCAAAGCAAAGGATATTTCTCAGCCAGCTCAGCAATTTTGCCAACCAAATTGACAATGATATACTCTTCTTTACTCTGATGTAAATATTCAAGCATTTTCTGGACAATAACGGTTACATTCTGTGTGTTTGTAATTCTATAAAGAAGTTCCAGTGTCTATTTAACAAAGAAAAATAAAAACAACATTATTAATTGACTCAGGATAACATCAATAGACACAATAACATATTTGGTTATAACACAATTAAATGGCCTACTTTTTTCATACATCTACTAGGTAGTTAATAGATGATCAAGAAATACAAACTTATCTAAAAACCGTCTAAAGTGAAATTGTCAAAAAGTAAATTGATCACAATTATTATTGAGCTAATTAGGATCAGACAATTACACATGTCAAAACATGTAATGTAAAAACTAAAAAGTTAAAGGTTTATATTTTCTCAAAATATAAAATTTTAGCCAGGCGCTGGTGGCTTACACCTATAATCCTAGCTACTTAGGAGGCTGAGATATAAGGATCATGATTCAAAGCTAGCCCATGCAGGAAAGTCCGTGAGACTCTTATCTCCAATTAACCACCTGAAAACTGGAAGTGGCACTATGACTCAAGTCGTACAGTGCTCACCTTGAGTTGAAGAGCTAAAGGACAATGCCCAGGCCCAGAGTTCAAGCGCTATCACCACCAACAACAAAAAAAGCTTTTAAAATTCAAGTTCATGATCTTTTAAAAATTAGTCATTAAGTGTTCACAGTATTCACTCAAGCTGTATTTTATCTCCCTGCTTATAAGATATTTATATACTTATTATATTTTCTCCTTTTTATCATTACATTTTTTTTTCTTTGTGCCAATCCTGGGGCTTAGGGCCAGGGTGCTGTTCAAGGCTAGTGCTCTACCACTTGAGCCACAACTCTATTTCTAACTTTTTGGTGGTTAATAAGAGATAAATATCTCATGGACTTTCCTGCTCAGGCTGGCTTTTGAACCATGATCCTTCAGATGTCAGTCTCCTGAGTAGCTAGGATTATAGGTATGAGGCACTTGTGCCAAGCTTTACCTTTATTTTATTTATTTATTTTTTTTTTTTGGTCAGTCGTGGGGCTTGAACTCTGGGCTTGGGCGCTGTCCCTGCACTCTTCAGCTCAAGGCAAGTGCTCTACCCCTTCCTTGAGCCACAGCACCACTTCTGGTTTTCTAGTGGTTTATTGGAGATAAGAGTCTCATGGACTTTCCTGCCCGGGCTGGCTTTGGGCTGGCTTTGAACTGCGATCCTCAGATATCAGCCTCCTGAGTAAGCTAGGATTACAGGGGTGAGCCACCAGCGCTGGCTAACCTTTATTATTTTTAAAAACCAGGAGTAGCCAGGGGCCATTGGCTCACGCCTGTAATCCTAGCTACTCAGGAGGCTGAGATCTGAGGATCGCGGTTCAAAGCCAGCCCGGGCAGGCAAGTCCATGAAACTCTTATCTCCAATAAACCACTAGAAAATCAGAAGTGGCACTGTAGCTCAAGCTGTGGAGCACTGGCCTTGAGCTGAAGAGCTGAGGGACAGCACTCAGGCCCAGAGTTCAAGCCCCACAACCGACCAAAAAACAGAAAAAAGAAAAAAGAAACAGGAATGAAAAACTTTGGCTTGGTGTGATGACATACTCCTGCTATCCCAGCTACTTGGGAGACAAAGATAGGAGGACTGCAGTTCAAGACTGGCCCAAGTGAAAGGCTTTTATATATGTAAAATTGGTCCATCATAAATTATACTGTTTATAATACATACTCATAAGACAACCTAGTACTAGAATTCAGGTTCCCATATCATGTTTAGGCTATAAAGACACTAATTAATGCAGATAGATAACTGAAATTAAACTCCTGAATTTGTCATCTAAAAACACTGTTGTGAGCCATGTACGGTGGTGTATGTCTGTAACCCCAGCACCTGAGACGCTGAGACATGAGGATTATGAGGTCACGTCTAGCCTGAGCTGCCTAGCAAGATGCTATCTCCAAACACAAAACTAAAACAAAATACAAATTCTTGTCACTGTTGACAGAATTCAATATACAGAAAAGTTAAAAGACATAATCTGCCACTTTAATCTCTCTCCAGAACACCAACCAAAAGTTTAGAAATGTTAACACTTTACGTACACTATTCAAAATTCCAGTTTACCTCTCTTTTAATAATGGGATCAGGATGGTCTAAGCATTCAATTATTGTCATCTGGTGTTGAAGAGCCAGAGTGGGATCCTGTTGGATAACATAGGTAAGAGCCTTCAGTCCTAGACACAAAGATTACATTACATGAAGTGACTTACAACAAGTACCCAGCAAATTTCAAACACTGTTTAAAATTCCTAGCAAAAAAGCCAATTTCCTTACCTAGATACTTGAGGTTTATTTTAGGTGACAGAACAAATTTTCCTATGCATTTGGCTGCCTTCTCAAGCAAATCTGATTTAGGATAAATAGAATAGACTGTGTGCACACATTCAAACAGAATAGCTGAAGAAGAAAAACATAAAAATGGCAGACTTATTAAGGCTCAAGAAAGAATATATTTCTGTAAGACTTAAAATAAACAAAATTTTCTACAGAAAATTTTCAAAGAAATCTTTATTGTTTTCAGTCTTACTTTATTAGAATTTAAAGAAAATTATATTACCAGTAATAAGACTGAGGCATTTACTTATGCACAAAGTATTTATCAAACCCCTCATGTGTGCCTTATGCATATTGATACCATGGAAGCAGCAGTGAGCAAAACTCAAAACACCTTCCCCTCCATAAGCTACCATTCTAATGGACATGCAGACAATCTTTCCAAAACTCCTTGAGGACTTTAAAATATTTTGCTTTCAAGTAGTTTCTACCACTTATGCACAGAAATCATGTATGTAGTTTACTACAATATAATAATTTTAAGTTGGCCTGGGTTTCAAAGAGAGGGTTATTATTCAAAAATCTTGCAATTACTTTAAAATTAACCTTTAATATATAAAGCATTCTATTGCACCTCTTGTGTGCTAGATGTACTTTCTAATAATGTCACGAGTCTTAACACTTTAGTGATTAAAGGAGACACTAATTTTTTTTTCCAATTCCTTAAAAAAACATGAGCTGGGCCAGGTGCTGATGGCTCATGTGAGTAATCCTAGCTACTCCGGAGGCTGAGATCTAAGGATCATGGTTTGAAGCCAACCCAGGCTTATCTTATCTCCAATTAACCACTCAAAAACTGGAAATGGAACTATGGCTCAAAGTGGTAAAGAGCTAACTTTGGAGCAACAGAGCTCAGGGACAGTGCCCCAGCCCTGAGTTCAAGCCCCACAACCAACAAAACAAAACAAAACAAATGAACTGGCTGGGCAGCGATGGCTCATGCCTATAATTCTAGCTACACAGGAGGCTGAAATCTGAGGACTTCAGTTTGAAGACAGCCCAGGCAGGAAGGTCTGTGAGACTCTTATTTCTAATTAATTTCAAAAAAAAAAAAAAGAGTCAGCAGTGGTACTGTGGCTCAAGCTATAGAGTGTTAGTCTTGAGCAAAAAAAGCTCAGGGACAGTGCCCAAGCCCTGAGCTCAAGCCCAGGACCAGTACCAAAGAAAAAGAAAAACCAAAGTCCTATGAGTTGAGGAACTGGAGCTTTGCCATGATCAGAAGAATCATTGAGACACGTTAAAGTGCTGTATGTCCTAAAGAGTCACAGTATCAGAAATGAGACACAGCACTAACACAGAATCAGACTTAAAAGCAGATCTATGCACTGGGCACAGCTCTACTTGCCTAAGATCCTCACCACTCAGAGGGGAGGGCAGGAGGATGGTAAGGTAGAAGCCAGTTTGAGCCACACAATGGTATTCTGAGTGGGTACTGGAGAGCCAAAAATCTGAAAATACCAGCAGGCACACTAAAGCATCCCAAGACAGGTTTGTTTTCAATTGATAACAATAAATTTAACTCAATATTAGAAAAGGTAATAGTTTCAAAGTATTACTATTATTCATTACCTAATCCAAAAAAACCCTTAAAATTCGTGCATAAAATTCTATTGGAATTTATAGTTTCTAACATAGATTTAGCTACAATACTAAAAACAACATTAGTTATTACAAGAACATGTATATGTTACCTACCATAAGTGACATTGTGATTTAATTCAGCTCTTCGTAAGGATTCATCAAGAACATCATACATTAATTCACTTGTCCTGTTTGAAAGATATTTTATTTGCAGTAGAATTACAGTATTCTAACCCAACAAAACATAGTTTTTCAAATTTTTCTCTCTTTAAAACTGAGGATCTACAGAAGAAAAGCGAAAGAAATTCATTTTATAGTAAAGTTACCCAACTTTACTTCAAATGATTTCATTTGCTCTTTTCCTGAGTTGAATCTCCTGTTCTACCAAACTTGGCTAGTTAGCAACTGAGGACACAAACAGAGTTCGGTCAACTCTTCCCTCATCTGGTCCTAGTAGTCAAACCAGGTTATAATCTGCTTAAACAAATAAAATTTTTGTAACATTCAAATCACTATAGTAATATCTTTTAAACAGTATATTATCTGTTTTCTTAACCAACTTGTTTCTTTTAAGATATTCGAATACTAGTCTTTCCCCAGAGAGCAACTAGGTTCTTTAGCAAGAAAAATGTAACCTTCATTTATTTCTAAAATTATTAAATTTTATATGTAGCAGCTACCCGTTTTTATGTAACAGTCTACCTGTTCTGATAACAGAAACAGCATGTAGGTTGAGACAAACAAAAATCATACAGTGCTTAAAGTGCCAGAGTACTCAGCCTCCAAGCCTCTAAAATTCCTGGCCAAGAAATCAATGTGAAAATTATTGCTTCCCAGTTGGTATTTTTGTATGCTTCGTAAATTCAAAAAACAGTAATGGAAAAAAGACTAGCAGCAGCTGGGCACCAGTGGCTTATACCTGTAATCCTAGCTACTCAGGAAGCTGAGATGTGAGGATCACAGTTTGAAGCCAGCCCAGGCAGACAAATACAAAATCTCCAATTAACCACCAAATACCTAGAAGTAGAGATGTGGCTCAAGAGGCAAGTGCCATCTGTAAGCAAGAATGCCAAATAAGAGCACGAGGCTCTGAGTTCAAGTCCCAGTATAAGTAAAAAACAAAAAAACCGTTAAGTTATATACAAAGGTGTTGTAGAGAAATGATGCTATAAAACAAAAACATCAAAATAACCTGAGGATGTATAAATTTGATACCATGAACATTATGTTCCCTTCAGAAAATTATGTTCCCTTCTTTTCTTTTTACAAATACAGAAGTAGAAAAGTCAATTTTATGTACAAGTACTTTCATTCTATCTTGACAATCTAATAATGAGACTAGAGAACCACAGCATAAAACACATACTATTTAAGCCTTCTTCCACCATGGCATGTCTTACCAATCCTAAAAAGCCAAAAATCAGCCAGGTGCCGGGGGCTCACACCTGTAATCCTAGCTGCTCAGGAGGCTGAGAGCTGAAGATCATGGTTCGAAGCCAGTCCGGGCTAGGAAGTCCATGAGACTCTCATCTCCAATAAACTATTTGGTAGAGTGCTAGCCTTGAGCAAAAGAAGCACAGGGACAGGACCCAGGTCTTGAGTTCAAGCCTCAGTACTGGCACCAAAAACAAAACAAAAACAAAAAACAAAAAAGCACCCAATACTATAAAACACAAGAAAATATTCAAATGATAAGAAAAAGGCTTTTCGGGAAATTTTTTTCTTTCAATACTTTTAGAATCCTATTATGAAGTGACATTTTTACTCTGTTATATTGAGCTTATCTTTCTTATAAATTACAAGATTTATGTTGAAAAAATATAAGTGGAGAGAAGATAGAAGAAAACATAGTTACACAGTACATAATTACATAGTACATAGTACAACATTACACTCTTTATATATCCATTTCTGAACCTAGCCTAATTACTATTCCATGGAGCCCTTCGAAGATAAGGAATCTTACTCAACTTTGTATATTCTTCAAATCCATCCAAGAAAAGATATGGCTAAATGAATTAAATAAAATTCCTTAAGTAAAATTCCTTAACATCAAAGAGCATTATCTTTTTTAGAGGATAAGCGATAATACCCCAATACTAAATTTTAAAATAGAATTCTAGCTGGGGACCAGGAGCTCACACCCATAATCCTAGCTACTCCAGAGGCTGAGCTCTGAGGATCATGGTCCTAAGCCAGGATAGGCAGGTAGTAAAGTCAGTGAGACTCTTATCTCCAATTAACCACCAAAAAAAGCTGAAAGTAGGGCTGTAGTTCAACAAAAGCTCAGAAACAGAGCCCAGGACCTAAATTCAAGCTTCAGGACTGGCATTAAAAATAAATAAATGCATTAAATAAATAAATAAGTAGAATTCCAGTGAGCTCAAACGAGAGCTCTCTATTAGCATAGTGTGGAATTACATAAAATAAAATTAGGAGAAGCCGGGCGCTGGTGGCTCACGCCTGTAATCCTAGCTACTCAGGAGGCTGAGATCTGAGGATCGAGGTTCAAAGCCAGCCCGGGCAGGAGAGACTGTGAGACTCCTATCTCCAATAAACCACCAGAAAACCGGAAGTGGCGCTGTAGCTCAAGTGGTAGAGCGCTCGCCTTGAGTTGAAGAGCTGAAGGACAGCGCCCAGGCCCAGAGTTCAAGCCCCACGACCGACAAAAAAATAAAATAAAATAAAATAAAATTAGGAGAAACATTTCTAATGTGAATTTCCTCATCACTTTGGGTGTTGCACTCTAATCAGGACTTGAGACTGATACACACAGGAAAAAGCTGACACAGTAATCAAAAGTGATACAGCCCAATTAGCACTGATGAAGAGTTCAGAGAAGATTGGTTCTGGTACGAAGATGAGAAGACATTTCTAGGAGCAATATAGGAGAAAACAGTCCCTCTGTAGAACTAGGCTAGAAAATTAGAACATGTATACCCCATACTATATGACATCAATGTCAGAACATTGATTAGCAAGTCTTTTCTCAATATATAAGACTCAAACCAAGCCTCTTGATTGTAAAGGAACTAACATATAATTGGATTTGCTCTCAAACAATAGAGGTGAAAAAATCATGTATATATGTCCACAGAAAGAGAGAGAATGACAAAGTAAATGTGAATAATTGATGAGGCAGACAGGATGTAAAGGACCTTCAATATTACCCCATGGACTACTCAAAAATTTATGAACTTTTCACATTCATTGATCACTATTAAGTCAACAAAGCACCGGCAGAATGTGGATGATCATGAAACCTCTAAGTGACTAAAGCCTAAGCCAAAGTAAGACTAAAACCTCCAAGTAACTAAGTGCTACAGTATGGAGTCATTAAGTAACTTACTTAGAATGGTTTACCTTTGATCATCTTTTCCTAGAAGTCCTAGTATTCTCAAAAGCTGAATCTGTAACCATGGTGCTGGCACATTGTGGTAATTGAAATCTACTGGGAGCTTTCCTCCAACTACTTGCTTTAAAATGGTTACAAAACTTCCAGTCAAGTCTTTATATCCAGACGGGTTCTCCTACATAAAAAAAGCAACTTTTTGATGATGTCTTATCAAATATGAAATAGGCTTGGTTAAAATGTCATATCGAACCTCCCTTAAAACATTCTCATTTAGTTTATGTTCACATTTAATAAGAGTTATTGATATACATAATTTCTTCCATTTAAGACTCTTCTGGCTACCCAACCCAAAGATGAATCATCCCCAGAAAAGCTTGCACACTCTCTACTTTTTCCTTCACAGTTTAATCACATTTTAAAAGCTTTACAATTACGTCACAGAATCCTTACTAGCCAGTAGTAGGAAATAAAGTATAAAGTGAAAATAATTGGCATATTGAAAAAAAGCAGTAACACTGTGATTCAATAAAAATCAGGGCCTGTTTGCAATTTCTGAACTGTGTGTGTAAAAGACATAAGAGTTAAATTCTGGTACAAAAGCACTGGAGACTACATTTGAAGCCCTAAACATTCAAAGCCTTCAAAATTAATTACCCATATAGCATATAAATATACTTTTACTCCTGGATGATAATGCCTTGAATATCTCTCTGACTAATGTCTTGAACTAGGAAAATAAAATATATCCTCCTTGCTGAATGTTAGATTCTCCATTGCAATAATGTTTTCACAGGCAAATTTTTGGAAAGGAAATTTTAATATACATTAAATAGAGAATAAGATTTAATGTTAAATATATTTATACTACACCATTTTGTAACAAAATGCATATAAAAGAAGAAGATAAGCTTTGGTTCTTTTGGTATTGGGGCTCAACCTCAGGACCTTATACTCTTGCTTGGCTTTTCTGTTCAAGGGTGGCACTCTATAATTAAGAGTCTCACAGATGTTTCTGTCCAAGCTAGCTTCACAATGTGATCCGCAGATCCCAGCCTTTTAGCTAGGATTACAGGCATGAGCCAGTAGCACCTGATTAAATTTTGGTTCTATAATCATAATGAGTTCAACAACACATTTCATTCTGTGACAACAGGCATTTATAAAATCCCCCACAACAATTTTATATTTTTATACAAATATAATTTTTGCACTGAGGACTGAGTATACTTTTGAAGACAAAGTTTCAGGAAATACATTGAGAGGGAACTGCTGAACTGGTACATATCCATCATGGTTTAGAAAAGTATTTTACCATACCATTCAACCTTCCTCTCCCCTTGACTACCCCAGTCTCAGTGCAGGCAGCCAACACTGTCAGCTATACCTGGCATAACCTGCACCTGCTCTTCTCTCTTCTACCAGCTGTTAGGTATCCCATGAAGCTGTATGAAAGAGATTCACTGCTTAAAAAACCTTCCCCTTTCAATCATCTTTCCCAACCACCATTTTTCCACATTTCTGTAACATAAAAACACTGCAGGCACTCAAAGCGATCTAATTCTGTAATGATATCACAATTCACGCCGTCAACACGTGCCAAAATTACTATTAGAAAGTCAATACTGGGGGAGGTTGGTAAGAGAAAAACTGGGAGAAATGAGGAAAGAGGTAACAATGTCTAAAAAGAAATATACTGATTACCCAACTTACGTAAGTGTAACCCCTCTTTTTTTGGGGGGGTCCGGTTGTGGGGTCTGAACTCTGGGCCTGGGCACTGTCCCTCAGCTCTTCAGCTCAAGGCAAGCGCTCTACCACTTGAGCCACAGAGCCACTTCCAGCTTTTTTTTTCCAGCTTACGTGGTGCTGAGGAATCGAACCCAGGGACTCATGCATACAAGGCAAGCGCTCTACCACTAAGCCACCTTCCCAGCCCAGTGTAATCCCTCTTTACATCACCTTTACAGTAACAATAAAAGAAAGTCAAATTAACAGCAAAAATAATGGTAATGAGGCATTTTATTGAAATGTATGAGTTTTCTTTTAATTCTAGTTATATTTTTCTATGGTAGCTACTCAGTACTTGCTGAAATTTCCAACTTACCTTAATCATCCTAAGGTATATGTGCAAAGAAGCAGCCATGACCCCAACATCTCTGTCACAAAGTGCTTTCCGGAACTTAATATGGATATGCTGTACTTGATTAGGAGCAATGAGATGGAATTTGTACAATGCTAGAACAGCTTTTCTTCGAATAATTTCCCTAAGGATGAAAAATTAAATTTCAACAAGACAATGTGAGCCATCAGATACTTAGTTTGAATAGATTATAGGCCAGATGATTTCAAAAAAAGAAACAAAGAATGATATATATCTTATCACTTTCTTTATTCTAATGCAACAAATATAAAAAGTAGTTATTTCTAAAAATTAAAATCTCTCAAGATTTTTTTTCCCTATTTGAAAGGTCTCACTATGTAGATCAAGGTGGACTCAAACTCTCTATGTTACTTCAGCCTGCCCAGTGCTGGAATTACAGCTACGTACAACCACATTTGGATCAAGAGGCTTTAACTGCCTATACTATATATTAAAAATTCCTCTAGTCACTTTTTCTGGCTTTTTCTTTTTATGTGGTACTGAGGAATGGAGCCTAGGTCTTCATGCAAACGCTCTACCACTCATAAGCCACATTCCTAGCCCCTAGTATGCTTTTATTTAAGTGCTTGAAATCAAAATCAGGGCCTTGTAGATATAAGGCAAGTTTTCTAATACTTAGCTATATCCCAAGCTCTAGAACTTTTTTTTTGTGGCAGTGCTGGGGTTTGAACTCGAGACCTCAAGCTCATTCGGCCTGCTTGCTTAACTGTGACTACTTGAGCCACACCTCCAGCTTTGCTTTCTGCTGGTTATTTGAAGACAGAGTTGTATGGACTTTTCTGCCCAAGGAATGCCTCAAACCTTGATCCTCAGGATCTCAGCTTCCTTAGGAGTTAGAGTTACAGGTGTGAGCCACCACTGTAATATTACTTTAGCAATCAGTTAAAACAAGAAAAATTTCTTAATTCTTTAATTTCATTTTTTAAAACTCATGGGGCTTGTACTCTAGGCCTGGGCACTGGCCCTCAACTCTTCAGCTCAAGGCGAGTGCTCTATCACCACTTGAGCCACAGCACCACTTCCAGTTTTCTGATGGTTAACTGGAAGTAAGAGCCTCTCGGACTTTTCCTGTCTGGGCTGGCTTTGAACCCTGATCCTCAGATCTCAACCTCCTGAATAGCTAGGATTACAGGCGTGAACGAGGGTGCCCGGCCTCATTTTTTAAAATATTGTATCTAGAAATTGAGACAAGATAATAATAAGTTTAAACCAACAATAAGGAATTTCAGCTAGATTATTAAATGAGCATTTATAAATATCAATCAAATTAAAATTATATTAATATTTACCAAAATTAAATTCATATATTTAAATTTAATATTTATAAATGTTAAAAAATGTTTAATATTTCTTTGTTAACCTGCATGAAACTCAGCATACATCAAATTCAAGATCCCCTTGTGTCCTAAATTTTTGGGATTTCAGACTGAGCTACCAAAGCCAATTAAAAATCTTCTTTCTATTACAGACAAGCATACTCCAAATATTCTGAGGATGGTGAAGTGCAGGTATTACTCTTCTCCTTGCATTGCTTTTGTTTTAAAATCTCATGATAGCAGAAGAAAAGCACATGCTAGTCTCAGTGTTCACTTGTAGCAGATAATATCTAGCAAACATGAAGCAAAAATACAGAGATGGTATACTAGCTGGGTACAGTAAGGAGTGCCTATAATCCCAGGACAGGAGAGGCTAACATCGTTTTAAGTTCCAGGCCAGCCTGGGATATATTGCAATACCCAGGCGGGGATGGGGGTGGGCGGGGAGGGAAGGGAGTCCTCCAGATACCAGTGGTTCATGCCTGCAATCCTAGCTACTAAAGAGACCACGATTTGAGGATTGAGGTTCAAAAACCAGCCAAGTAGAGATGTGTCGCAAGTGGTAGAGCACCAGCCTTGAGCAAAAAGAGCTAAGGAACAGCTCCCAAGCCCTGAGTTCAAGTCCTAATACTAGCCCCCCAAAAAAGTGTGGAAAAAAGTACCTTCCCAGTATACTGAAGCTTTGTGTTCAGAGCACTTGAACTATTTTTCCGTTTTCTATAATTTTTCTTCATCTTCTAAACAACTTTTTGAGAATTAAGGAATTTCAAGCCTTTTTTGGGGTCGGTTGTGGGGCTTGAACTATGGGCCTGAGTGCTGTCCCTCAGCTCTTTAGCTCAAGGCAAGTACTCTACCACTTGAGCTACAGCACCACTTCTCGTTTTTCTGGTGGTTTATTGGAGATAAGAATCTCACGGAGTTTCCTGCCCAGGCTGGCTTTGAACCATGATCCTGAGATCTCAGCCTCCTGAGTAGCTAGTATTACAGGCGTGAGTCACCGGCGTCTGGCAATTTCAAGCCTTTATAGCTAAAGGAAAGCAGCACCATTGCTTGTGAGGGAAAGAAATGAGAGAAAAACAAAGGATTCCTGATGATAATGCTCACTTTAGAGAGGCCTTAACTTTAGAAAGCCATCTAACATTTTCTAAATCTGCAAAAACATAAGGTCAATTCTATTGGGATTTTTGTGTAATAACTGATAATCAAAGAATATTCTCTATTGTAGTAGCATTAAGTTAGTTATAATAAATCTAGTATACTTTTTTTTGTCAGTCATGGGGTTTGAACTCTGGGCCTGAATGCTGTCCCTCAGCTCTTCAGCTCAAGGCTGGCACTCTACCACTTGAGCCACAGTGTCACTTCCCGTTTTCTAGTGGTGTATTGGAGGTAAGAGTCTCACAGACTTTCTTGCTGGGGCTGGCTTTGAACCATCATCCTCAGATCTCAGCCTCCTGAGTAGTTAGGATTACAGGCCTGAGCCACCAGTGCCCGGCTTAGTATACATTTTTATTTGAAATATACAGTAAAGACACTAATACCAAAAGAATTTACTTACTTAGAATGCTGAAGTTTATCTTCTATTAAAGGAAGAACAGCTGGAATCATCTCTCGAGGGAAAATCTGGCTGACAACAGTAAGAGCCATACATATTTCCACCAAGTTAGTGCTCTGCAAGTCCTGGCATTATTACAAAGAAAACTTTCAGTGTAAAGTTTCAAACTAAGGATGGCAAATTTATCACTGCACTAAGCCTATATATTTAGTGAATTCTTCCCAGCTTTATATTTATTTTGTGCATTTATACTTATGTCACTTTTTTTTTTTTTGGTCGGTTATGAACTCTGGGCCTGAGCACTGTCCCTGAGCTCATCAGCTCAAGGTGAGCGCTCTACCACTTGAGTCACAGTGCTACTTCTGGTTTTCTGGTGGTTTATTGGAGATAAAGAGTCTCACAGACTTTCCCAGGCTGGCTTTGAGTAACTAGGATTACAGGCGTGAGTCACTGGTGCCCAGCTCTTATGTCACATTTTATGGGACTATCCCTATCTGTTTCATTTGCCTTAATAGAACAGATAGATAGATAGATAGATAGGTGACAGGTAGATATAAATGGAAACTAATACAAAAGCTAGCCATTTCTGTCTATTATAGTGCTTAAAACATCTCAAACTACTAACAAAACAATTTTATGAATTTTTCTAGTTAATCATGAGTAAAAATTTAAAACTTAAGTTGGGTGCTGGTGGCTCACATCTGTAATCCTAGCTGCTCAGGAGGCTGATTACAGTTCAAAGCTAATTTGGGCAGGAAAAGTCTGTGAAAATCTTATGTCTAATTAACCACCAAAACAAAAAAGCCAGAAGTGGAGCTGTGGCTCAAGTGGTAGATGGCTAGCCTTGAGCAAAAGAATGCTCAGGAGGGTTGGGAAGGTGGCTCAGTGGTAGAGTGCTTGCCTTGCATGCCTAAGGCCCTGGGTTCGATTCCTCAGCACCACATAAGAATACTGGCACACAAAAAAAGTAACTTTAGAATTTGTACAATAAAATGCATATATTCATATTAACTTAAGGCACATATTTTATTAATCATTCTATAGAAACTTCAAAATACATTTTTAAATTTTTGAAAAGTTTACCCCGGTGCCAGTGGCTAAAGCTGTAATCCTAACCCCATGACCAACCAAAAAAAATTTTTTTTGAAAAATTTAAGCTACTAGTAACTGATTTAAACTTCAGAAAATATTGTACAAATAGACACTCCATACTCACATATTGAAAGTCCAATACACACCAAAAAAAAACAGGAAAAAGACTGATAATTCAATTATACTTCATTATTAGATCTGATTAGAAATTTAATAGGAAAAAATTGTGAGTACAGACTAAGTTATGTGTTTATCATTTGTGTAATTTTGCCAAGCAAGTATGTTTGTACCCATTGTAAATGACTTTTTGAATTTTAAAGATTGCAGTTACTCAAGTTCTATCTACATTCCTTTAGATAAATCCTAGAGGAAAAGACTACAGCATGCAGTTACCCTGGCAAACAATCTGGTAATATGGTTATCATTCCAACTGCTGTCCCCAAACTCAATGACAATATGGACAAGAACAGCAGCAGGAAGAGCAACAACTCTAGTCTTTCTTCCTTTTTCCTTCTTTTTTTTTTGTGTGTGTGTGCTGGTATTGGGGCTTGAACTCAGAGACTGGCACTGTCCATTAGCTTTTTTACTCAAGGACCAGTGAGCCACAGCTTTACTTCTGGCTTTTTGCTGGTTAACTGAAGACAAGGATCTCATAGACTTTCTTAACTGGGCTGGTTTAGAACAGTTATCCTCAGATCTCAGCCTCCTGAGTAGGTGGGGTAATAGGCATGAGTCTAGCTAGTGTTTCACTTAATCCTCAAAATTAGTTAAGTTCCATTATACACCTTCATTATAAAAATGCAGAAACTGATTTTAAAAAGATCATTCTAAGCCCATTCTTTTAGCCTATCTACTTCCAAAATTACTGAATTCAATTGGATATGGAGCCATCTCAGAAACAGTAGAAATAGTTTCAGACTTCACATTAACAGACACATAGTACTTACCTTTACCACTGTATTCACAAGGAGAAGCAACAGTTCATGACTTTCATGTAGAAACAAAGAAACAGCCAGATAGCCTACAAAAAAAAAAAAAAATGAAAGAACGGCCTCATTAGTACCTACCAAAAATATATTATTCCCAAGAAGTTATACAAAGCAATAATATAGTTTATGTTTTAAGTGTCAAACATAGTAGTCATAGGCAAACATAAAAACAAATTGTAAGCCAGATGCTGGCTCAGGTCTACAATTCTACCTACTCTCAGGAGGCTGAGATTTAGAGGACTGATATATTCAAAGACAGCCTGGGCAGGATCAGTCCTCAAGACTCCATCCCCAAAATAAGCAGCAAAACACAGGCCTAGAGAATGAGCCCAGCAAACAAGCCAAGCAATCTTGACCAAAAAATTCCTTAAAAATTCCCATTTTATATAATCTTTAAGAAAAATTGGTATTTTAAGAAAAGGAAGTAACTAATAGATTTCTTAATTTTTTTTTTGGTAGAAGTCCTATGAGTGATACCACAAGAGTTAGAGCCTGATTTGGAATACAGAAAGGGAGAAAGGACCCTAAAGAATATTCTACATACAACATAGAAGAGTACTTGGGGTGGAGTGGGGTTCAACAAGTGGAGTATTATGTACATGTAGCATCTGACTCTTTATGAAAACTCTATCATTTCATAGCACTGGTAAATACAATTTGTGCAGAATGATAGACCTTAAGAATATGATATTAGCTGGGCGCCAGTGGCTCACACCTGTAATCCTAGCTACTCAGGAGGCTGAGATCTGAGGATCGGGGTTCAAAGCCAGCCTGGGCAGGAAAACCTGTGAGACTCTTATCTCCAATAAAAACCACTAGAAAACTGGAAGTGGCACTGTGGCTCAAGCGGCAGAGCGCTCACCTTGAGCTGAAGAGCGCAGGGACAGTGCCCAAGCCCAGAGTTCAAGCCCCAAGACTGACAAAAAAAAAAAAAAAAGAAGAAGAACATGACAATACCAATCTCAATGAGGGGAGAACACATTCCATTCCATCTCTACTCTAGTCTTTAGTCCTTCTTTCTGGGAATCCCGATACAGGGCTGAATCTTTACAAAATTTTTACAAAGGTACCTCTAATCCTCAAACCTAACATCTGTGGAGGTGAGAATAGTATATTTAATATTATTCTAATCAATTTCAATTTTATTGGCTACTTTGATAAGTAGATATTGAATGTAACCCTGCCAAGAGTCCCTTGAGATCCACTAGTCCACTCCTTTTTTTCTTCTTCTTTTTCTCCCTTCCTCCCTCCTCTCCCTTCTTCCTCCTACCTTTCATGCTTATCTGCAGGGCTTTGTGCATGCTGGACAAGCACTCTAGTATTGATTTACGTTTTTTGCCCTAAGTTTTATATTATGCAGAAATATTAGCCAGGTATGGTGGCACACACCTATAGTCTCAGTACTCAGGAGGCAGGAGAACCACAAGTCTGAGTTCAGCCTAAGCTACATACTGAGACACTGTATTGAAAAGAGGGAAGAGGAAAATTTCCAACCATGGTGTTAAGAGTACTTTTCTTTTCTTTCTTTTTTTTCATGTCAGTACTGGGGCTAATTGACTTAGGACCTGCGAGCTGTCTCTAAGGCTCAAAGCTAGGACTCTCTCGAGCTCTACTTCTAGACTGAGTTCTCTTTTTTTTGCCAGTCCTGAGGCTTGGATTCAGGATCTGGGAACTGTCCCTGAGCTTCTTTTTGCTCAAGGACGGCAATCCACCACTTAAGCCACAGCACCATTTCTGGCTTTGTGCATGCTAAGCAAGCAGTCTACCACTAAGCCACATTCCCCTCCTAGACCAAATTATTAAAACCTATTTTATTAAGGTATAATTTAAAATTCACCTATATTATTAACAATACAGCTCAATGAGTTTTGACAAATATTGTAGTTATCCAACCACTATCATAAGATTAGGCCAGTTTTAATGTTTTTTTAATTTTTTAAATTTTTTTGGTTGGTCATATGGCTTGAACTCAGGGCCTAGGTACTGTCCCTGAGATCTTTTGTTCAAGGCCAATGTTCTACCTCTTTGAGCCATAGCAACACTTCCATTTTTCTAATGGCTAATTGGAGATAAGATTTCACAGACCTGGGGCTGGGAAGGTGGCTCAGTGGTAGAGCACTTGCCTTGCATGCCAGAGGCCCTGGGTTCGATTCTTCAGCACCACATAAGCAAACAGAAAAAAGTCAGAAAGTGGCGCTGTGGCTCAAGTGGTAGAGCACTAGCCTTGAGCTGAAGAGCTGAGGGACAGCGCCCAGGCCTAGAGTTCAGACCCCATGACCGGACCCAAAAAAAAAAAAAAAAAGATTTCACAGACCTTCCTATCCTGTCTGGCTTTGAGCCATGGTCCTCAGATCTCAGCCTTGCTGAGTAGCTAGAATTACAGGTGTGAGCTACCAGTGCCTGCCTCAGATGTAATCTTCTGTGTAACCCCAAAATGGTATGAACCTGGAAAACTGATCATTAAAAGGCTTTGGGTTTCTGAAGTGATATCATTTAAATCTTTGGAAATTACAATGCAGTGTTCTACAAACAAATTACATACCTGCCATACTCATTTTTATACAGTAAATGGAACTTCAAGGAAAACTTAAGTATGAAAGTCTTTAAACACGACACATACATACCTACTCTTTTTTCTAAGAGGTTTCCTTGTTGGGCCAATTTGATTGCATGTATATAGCCAAAGGAAGCATCATATCCAAGCATCTCACAATATATAAGTCTCACCATACATTCTTTCATCATTTTCTGAAAAACATAAGGTCCAGTTACTATATTCAGAACCACAATGTTTTGATTTTTTTGTAATACTCATGAGCAGGATAACCTTTAATCCAGGCAATAAAGAGACAAGGAAGATATTAGAAATTAATCACCCAATATCAGAATACATAAACAAAAGTTGTTTTCAATCTTAATTATCAGAAGTCAGGATTTCAACAAATTTTTCAAATATTTTACTGATAGTGGTACTAACAAAATAAATAAGCTGTATTTTTTTTTTATTCTGCTTATGTGGTACTGAGGAATTGAACTCAGGGCCTCATGCATGTGAGGCAAGTACTCTACCACTGAGCCAACTTCCCAGCTGTAAGTATTTCTAATTCTATGTGTCCAAATTTTTTTGGTTACAATGTGAAACATATCTGAGACAAAATTACATCCATAGTAATCTTATTTGGCATCTAAAATACACCACATCTAGAATTTTAATATCTCGTCAAATAAAAATATGCATAAAATTCCCAGAAGTTAGCAATGATTTCTATAATGAAAAAATTTTTTACATTTCAGCATCAAATTGCAAAGCGTGTACACACCTGTATTCCTAGTAAAATGGAAATATCTCAGAGTTTTTCAGAAATCACTATGAGCTTTAAGGAAGATAATTGCATACATATTATTCTCTTGTTTTTAGAGAAGAGAGCACTTTTCCTCAACACAGAAATTCTCTTTACAATTTCTTTAACAGTCATCCTACTTCTATAAGACCACCAGAAAAACAGACTACTATGTCACATCTGGATGGCCATAATTACTAAACATGCTTCCTCCTAAACTGACTTCCTAACTTCCAACCTATTAATCTCAATCCTACCCAACACCAGATTTATGTGTGTAGCAAGGAAAACTGCACATAATATTATCAATTGCAGAAAATTGAAACCTAACGAAATAAAAAGGGAGAAACTATTTTGTAACATTTCTATTATATGCCATGAAGCACAAAAATGTGGTATACACACAAAGACACACATCCACACATAAATATCCACATACATATATATTATAATGTACCGGATTAATGATGTCTTGAGTTTTGTCTATGATATTATTATTATAATATCATAGGAAATACATGAATCATTTCAGATTCATAAGTATTATTCATGTACAAGATCACATACTCATATAAAATGATCACCTTAATATTTTATTGGGGAGAGAAGAAACATTCCCACAATGATTAATTCACAAAAGGCTCTATTAAGTATTTGTTGAACAAATGTTGGTTGGAGAAAACTCGGTTTTAAAACCTGATATTAGAGGGGCTGGGAAGGTGGCTCAGTGGTAGAGCGCTTGCTTTGCATGCCTGAGGCCCTGGGTTCGATTCCCCAGCACCACATAAGCAAAAAGAAAAAAAGCCAGAGGTGGCGCTGGGCTCAAGGGGTAGAGCGCTAGCCTTGAGCTGAAGAGCTGAGGGACAGCGCCCAGGCCCTGAGTTCAGGCCCCACGACCAGACCCCCCCCCCAAAAAAAAAACAAAAAACCTGGTATTAGAACTGGGCGCTGGTGGCTCATACCTGTAATCCTAGCTACTCAGGAGGCTGAGATCTGAGAATCACAAAGTCAGCCAAGGTAGGAAAGGCTGTGAGACTCTTTTTTTTTTTTTTTTAAGGCTGTGAGACTCTTATCTCCAATAAACCACCAGAAAACCAGGGGGGCTGTAGCTCAACTGGTAAAATGCTTGCCTTGAGCTGAAGAGCTGAGGATCAGAGCCCAGGCCCAGAGTTCAATCCCCATGACCAACCAAAAACAAAAAAAGAACAAAAAAACTAACAGCATTAGGACAGGCACTGATGGCTCACGCCTGTAATCCTAACTACAGAGGAGACTGAGATCTGAGGGTCACAGTTCAAAGCCAGCTTGGGCAGAAAAGTCCATGAGACTCTTATCTCCAATTAACCACCTGAAAAACCACTCTACCACTCGAAGTGATAGAATGCCCAGGCCCTGAGTTCAAGCCCCATGACTGACAAAACAAAACAAAGGAAAAAAAATGGGCTAGAAATGTGGCTTAGTGGTAGAGTGCTTGCTTAGCATGCATGAAGCCCTGGGTTTGATTCCTCATACCACACAAAAGCTAGAAGCACTGTGGCTCAAGTGGTAGAGTTCTAGCCTTCAGCATAGAGAGGCTCACATGCACAGCCCAGGCCCTGAGTTCAAGGCCCAGGATTGGCAAAAAAAAAAAAAAAAAGACCAACAAACTAACATTAGGCAATTCAAGCTTGTAATCCCAGCTACTTGGGAGGAAGAAATTAGAAGGATCACAGTTTAAGGTCAATCGAGCATCTTAATCACTTGGTGACATGGCACACGTTATAAGCCAGTGCTTCCCCACAATGTAAAAGGAGGATCAAGGTCTTAAGATGGCCCAAGGCAGAAGTGGAAGACACGAACTGCAAAACAACAAAAGCAAAAAAGGGCTGAGGGCATGGCTCAAATAGTAGGTAGTCTGCCTAGCAATGTGACTCTAAGTTCAAACCCTAGTACTGTACCACCCAAAAAATCTTGTTATGCTGGGCAGGAAACTCCATGAAATGCTTATCTCCAATAAACCATCAGAAAACTGGAAGTGGCACTGTAGCTCAAGTGGTAGAGCGCTAGCCTTGAGCTGAAGAGCTGAGGGATAACACTCGGGCCCGGAGTTCAAGCCCCATGACAGACAAAAAAAAAAAATTCTGTTATTACATATTGTATACATGTATTTAATTCTCACATTGTATACCATAAATATCTACAACTGCTACATGTCAACAAAAAATCCTAACAACAGCAAAAACCTGGGTCCTAATCTATGTGCAGACTGCCCACACTGGCCTGTGTTCCAAGACCACTCACTGAGCAAAAACAAATACTATCTAAAGAATCAAGTTATGATGGCTAAGTCTGGGCCAATCAAGACTGGGTCTTGATTTAGCTTCTATACAATACACTTAGTTTCATAGCAAGAAAGTAATGTTTCTACCTTGTCAACCAGTCAATGCTCTAAGTTAAAAATAAAAGTCTACAATACAGTTGGAGATATAGTCAGTGGTAAAGTGCATGTTTAGCATGGGTAAAGTCCTGCATTCAATCACCAATGTCACATAAACAGACATAAAATATTTGACAATGTATCCATCTAGGTCTGAAAATACTATGCTAAAGTGACATATCCTAATGTTTCCTATGTGTACAAGATTAAAACAGCAAGATCAGTACTGGCACCCCAGGAGTATCATCTCATTTAGTAACTATCATCACATTGGTCCTGACTTCACATAGTCAGGCAAGCTTTGCTTCTGTACAACCAGTTGAGGATAAAAACCTAAGTTAGTACCTTTGACTTGGACCATAACACACTAAAATTTAGAAACCATCAGTAAATGCTACTCACAATTCTCCACTGGCCCAGATTTCAAATTCCAATGTGCTGCACTAACTATACAAACTTACCAGTGTTGTTGTAGGAGCAGAGACAGTTGCTTTCAGACTATTCAATTCCTGCTGGATTAATTTCTCCTCTTCCTGAAAAAGTAAACATATTTAAATGTTTAAGTAACTGTCTTATTAAACTAGCAGGATTGGGCTGAGGTATAGCTCAGTGGCAAAGCTTGCCTAGCAATGCTCCGGATTTTTGATATTCAGTACCACAAAAAAAAAAAAATAATAACAAAAAAGCTGGGTGCCAGTGGCTCACGCCTATAATCCTAGCTACTCAGGAGGCTGAGATCTGAGGATCATGGTTCAAAGCCAGCCTGGGCAGGAACATCCCTGAAACTTTTATCTCCAATAAACCACTCAGAAAACCAGAAGTGGCGCTGTGGCTCAAGTGACAAAGCACTAGCCTTGAGCTGAAGAGCTGAAGAACAGCACCCAGGCCCAGAGTTCAAGCCCCATGACAAAAAAAAAAAAAAACTAGCAGGATTTTTTTTTTCCATCTTGCTTGAATACAGGGCCTGGGCAATGTCCCTGAGCTTCTTTTGCTCAAGGCTAGCACTCTACCACTTAAGTCACAGCACCCCTTCTGGCTTTTTCTGTTTATGTGGTACTTAGGAATTGAACCCAGGGCTTCCTGCACTAGGCAGGCACTCTACCACTAAGCTACATTCCCAGCCCAACTAACAGGATTTTTACAGGGGAAAACACAATGTATAATACTTTCAATTAAAAAGAAATATAGTTAGCCAGGTGGTAGCTCACCCTCTAACCCTAGCTACTCAGAGGACTGAGATCTGAGGATCATGGTTCAAAACCAGCCCAGGGAAGGAACATCAATGAGACTCTTATCTCCAATTAATCACCTGACAACTGGAAGTGGCACTGTGGCTCAAGTGGTACATACAGTGCTCACCTTGAGCTGAAGAGCTAAGGGACAATGCCCAGGCCCAGAGTTCAAGCACCAGGACCGACAAAGAAAAAAAAAAAAAAGAGAAAAATGTACTCATTACCTAACTTATAAAACTATCACCCTTCTGTACATCACCTTTATAATAACCATTTAAAATGTTTTAAAAAAATAAAAGTATAGGGCTGGGGGTTTAGCCCAGCGGAAGGGCGCCCGCCCGGCGCGCGCAAGGCCCTGGGTTCGGTCCTCAGCCCTGGAAAAAATAAAAATAAAAGTATAATGCTAGATATGGGTGGATCATACCTGTAATACTAGGTATTCAAGTGTCTGAGATGTGAGGATTACAGTCCAAAGCCAGCTTGGGCACTACTTCTTGGACAGGAAAGTCCATGACACTCTTATCTCCAATTAACCAGCAAAAAGCTGGAAGTAGAGCTGTGGCCTAAGTGGTAGAGGACTATTGAGCAAAAAAGGTCAGGGACAGAGTCTAGGCACCTAAGTTCAAGTCCTGGGATTGACAAGGCAAGAAAAAAAAAGTACAGAAAGTTGAAAGAAATTCTTCTGGTCTAAAATGAGTCTCATTTTCCTCCCTTTAGAAGTAAAAAGTATTCATGAATAGAAATAGCTTATACAATCTATACAGAAAAAATGGAGTCTTTTTCCTTAAAATCTTTTCCTCTTCCTTAACCTTTTCTTATTGTTTCCTATCACACACACACACACACACACACAGATGGGATCACTTTCAATGTCTGCACTGCATTTTACCTCCTTAAGCATATTGGCCCCACTTTGGGCTAATATGATGCTATTTCTTTTTTTAATGATGCTATCTTTAAATTAGCAGGTGTTTGTTAGGTTGCTAATCAAGATTTACTAGTGAAGAACTGCCACATTTGAATGCCCATGTATAGTTACAACAGGCAATTTAAGGCCACTCATAATTTTCTTAATATTTCATTGGACATGTTATACAAATTAGTAAAGAAGAAAAACATAAAGACAAGCAATATTAAGCACACTAAGCAGATCCTATCCAGTATAGCAAAGTTTTTAACTTTTGCTTTTGAGGTACTGGGGTTTGAATTCAAGGCTTGTGTTTGGCAGATACTCTGTTGCTTGAACCTCTTTTTTTTTTTGCCAGTCGTGGGGCCTGAACTCTGGGTCTGGGCACTGTCCCTCAGCTCTTCAGCTCAAGGCTAGCACTCTACCACTGGAGCCACAGCGCCATTTCCGGCTTTTTCTGTTTATGTGGTGCTGAGGAATCGAACCCAGGGCCTCATGCTTGCAAGGCATGCACTCTACCGCTGAGCTACCTTCCCAGCCCCCTCTTTTTTTTTTTTAACCAATTATTTTTCCAATTATCTCAAATTCTTCTGCCCCAAGTTGCCTCAAGTTCTGAATTCCCTCTCTGAGCCTCCAAGTAGCTAGGATTACAGGCTTGAGCCATGGATGCCAGACATAAACCTGTAGAACATTTTGTTCTGTCTTTTTTTTTCTTTCCTGGTATTTATATTGCATTATATTTGTGTTTATATTTACCCCCAAAATAGATGTCCAATCCCTTAAGGGGAAAAAAAAGCATTTGTTTAACTCTTACTATATAACCTTGCTTACAAATACTTGTTAAACTATTGGGCTTTAAATCAATATCTTGAGCAACCCATGCAACCCACCTAAAGTCTATGGGAACTTAATAACTACTATTTCCTTTCCTAGTACTGGGACTTGAACTCTGGGCCTTGGCATATGCTAAGCAATCATTCTACCACTTGAGCCACACCGCTCACTCTAATTACTTCTATTATAATGACTCACTTTCAAAGTCCATCGGAAGCAGGGGCCTATGCAGCCTATTTTACACTTTGGGAAGATTTTGGTTATTTGAGAAAAGGGGGGGGGAAGACCTCATTGAGTTTGACTAAAACCTTAAGTTCCCCCACCCAAAGTATTCAACAGCAGGCGGAGGTGGACAGAGCTGTTCAGCTGACAGGGCTGTGGAAGAGGAAGGAACTTAGTAAAGGAATTCGTGCCTGGTAGTTGTATCTCAGTGGGTTACCTTCACAGACTTGACATCTCATCGGATCCTCAAAACCACCTACACCACGGTCTACGATGCGAAAACATAACGAGGGATCGGAAGGTAAAGCCACGTATCCCGGATCCGAGTTTCAGTCAGTGTCGAAGCCAAACGGTGGAAACTCGGTTTCCCCGTTGTTGTCAGACGAAGCAGGAAAGTGACGCTTCCCTGACAGACCTCAGGACGGGGTGCCACACGCGCGGCCCTGCGCCCCCCACGGACGTGCGGGTCGGGGTCACCGGGGTCTCGGCCTCTCGGCTGGGCCCTCCCCACGGAGGACTTCCTAGGACGCCTCCCCATGAAGAGGCCGCACCATGCGAGGCCTCCTCACATAGGGTCTGCTGGCCAGAGCCTTTCCACCCCACGGGGCCCACCCCCCCCCCCGGCCACCTCTGACCTCCAGGCCCCCCACCCCACCCCACCCCTTCTCCGGACCCACTTACGTGCTTGGAGGTGAGCGCGGTGATGCCGCGGATGAGGCCGCCCAGGCGGGAGGAGAAGGAGGTTTTGGCAGCGGGGGACCCTCCCACCGGCTGATTCTGCAGAAAGAGTCCCGGCAACGCCGTCAGCGTCTTCTCTACGATGTCACTCATCGCCGTAGTCGCCGCCGCCGCCTCCCCCGCGGCCTCCGCCGCCCGGCTTCATGCCCAGCTACGGCTGCCTGGCCGGCCACCGTAGGCACTTCCGGTGTTTTGAATGAGAAATCTTTATTGACTTCCGGTGTGTGCGCGCGCAGCGCCCGCCGGAAGGCTGGGCGAGTCCGCGACGCTCGGCTTGGGCGCGTCACGGTGACACCTGGCGGCGGCGCTGACGGGTTGAGTGACAGCGCGGGGGCGGTGAGTGACAGCGCGGCGACACCCGCAGACTGGGTGAGGGCTCCTATGGAAGCCACCAGGCGGTCCGGCAGCTTAACTCCCTCAGAGTTTCCCTCGGACGCTGCCCGACACCCCGTGCGGGAATGTTCCCATGTTGTGTCTCCTAGGGACTCCCTCCCCACCCCCTCCCCACCCCCCAGCCACCACCCCTCTCCGTGGGCCCGGGCGACGCGACGCTGCGGAGACCCCCCCCCCCGAACCAGTCGGCCCCGCGCGTCCCCAAGACTCTACCACGAGGGCCTCCAAAAGTCAGAAATCGTAAATTATCGAGGGCTGGGAAGGTGGCTCAGTGGTAGAGTGCTTGCCTTGCACGCATGAAGCCCCGGGTTCGATTCCTCAGTGCCACATAAGCAAAAAGAAAAAAGCCAGAGGTGGCGCTGTGGCTCAAGGGGTAGAGCGCTAGCCTTGAGCTGAAGAGCTGAGGGACAGCGCCCAGGCCCTGAGTTCAGGCCCCACGACCAGACCCCCCCCCCAAAAAAAAAAACAAAAAACCTGGTATTAGAACTGGGCGCTGGTGGCTCATACCTGTAATCCTAGCTACTCAGGAGGCTGAGATCTGAGAATCACAA